CGTTTCTCGTTCCATTTTTATATCATACAAACGACTGCTTGTCCACGTCTGAAGCAAAAATTATGACTTCATCAGAAGACACAACCTACCAGGAAGGATCCAAACAAGGCGATGGAAGAGAGGAAGTGCCAAATGTCATGGTCGTCAAAAAAGAACAGCAAGATACAGTCCCTGTTGTGCTCACGAGACTCTGCCGGTGTTTTCTGTGCCGAAAGCCGAAAGAAGAAAAAAAAAAGATAATTTAAATGCAAAGTACCAGCAGTTGGACAATCCCCTGTGCCTGCCCTTCCGGTACCAATAGAGTATTTAGCGCATGTATCTGTGGATCACTGACCTGCCAGGTACTGAGTCCCTGGAAAAAGAAGAACAGTGCAAATCCCCAAACCACTGCGGTGAGGAGGATAAACACCAACGGGAGACACTGGATTCTTTCTCCACTCCGCAGCTACACACAAACACACGCAGATATTACTTTAGACAGGTAATGCGAACACACGTCCTTCTCTTAAATCTCATTTGCATGGATGCACCGGAGCCCACCTTCATGATGATGTAAAAGGCGCAGTACAGTAGCAGGTTGCAGATGGCGATGGCCAACAAGTAGGAGGCAAAGTCGTTGGGTCTCTCTATGAGGCCGTAGGCAGCGCTGCAGAGAGAGAGAGAGAGAGAGCAGGTGAAAGGTCACTTGTGGGTTCATTACTCATTTTTATGTATGTTTAACTCGATGTCGTTGACTTACAGTGACCAGTTCACTATGTTTCCCATCACGAGCAGAACCATCCGATCCTTCAAAGAGAGAGAGCGTTAGGTGAAGGTCACCTTTACTTCAAACAGTGTCTTTAGCACAATGTGAGAACTGTCCCATCTTGACTCACCACATACATGGGTCCACTGCACTGTCTGATACAGTCTGTGTAGATGACGTTCAGTATCCTGCGCAGCACACCAGAGTCTGACAAATACACAACAGGCAGACGATAGTGGTGTAAAAATGTGTATGTTGTATAAGTGAAATGAGTTTATAAACAATGCTACTTAAATTTAGATTCTCAAAATGATCAAAATTTCCTATTTCTCTTCAATCTAGATTCTCAAAATGATCAAAATTTCCTCTTCAATTTTCAAATTTCAGATAAAAATACCCCAACATAAAAATTTACATACCTATAATAAAAGGTAGTCTAAGGCTACAATCAATTTGTATTTGTATATGTTCATTGAACAGCCCACATATTTGAAACAATATTGACAAGACATTAGGATGTTTGACTCTGACTGACAGAACCTTCATCCGTGTCCTCACCAAATCTCCATCTTCCCATGTAGTAAAGCTGTGTGCTGAGGAGGAGAGTGGCCAGAATATGGATGACTGAGAAAACGATCCAGAAGACCATGTTTCCTTTTCCAAACACCTACAAATACAAATGACACCATCGTCATGATATGACAGCTGCACCTTCAACTTCTTCTCCTTCTGTGCTGTGCTGAACTCACCACGCCCAGCACGGAGAAGAAGATGACTGCAGCCAGGCAGGCGTAGGCAGTGTAAGCACTGGCATTGATGTCAGGGTGTCTCTTCTGGTACAGCTTCAGCATACACAGCCCAGCAATCATGTACATGAACGATGTGTCTGCAGTGGAGGATGCGAACAGAATAGATGAAAAAACTATACAATTCTAAGTTCTTTCCATCTGTATTGGAACTAAACCTTTACTGACATTTGCTCTTCAATGCATAATTTCTTTGTATTTTTTGTAGCTTTTGTTGTCAATTGTACTATGTAAATGTGAACTTTTTTCATCATGAAAACATTTGGTCCATTCACTTGGACTATTTGCAAAAACAAAACAACACTTCTACACATTTTTATCCTATTTGCAAAAACAAAACAACACTTCTGCACATTTTTTAATGTTAAGATTTTAAACATTTATGACCATAGAAACCAAGCAAGTCAGAACCTGCTAGTGTCCTCTATGTGACCCACAGAAATACTGCATTACACTAGTGAGAGACAATTTGCCTCCCCGCTGATGTTCCTTTCAGGATTACGTTCTATAAATTTCAGAATCAGCGATGCTTTGCCTTGTCGACTGAGCCCATGTACAATAAATACAAGGACTATTTCCACCAAGCTTAATAAATCCCAGATGACAGCTCAGAAAGACTGATCCCTCCATCTGTCTCATCAATAATAAATAACAGCGTTATCGCTCCGCAGTGGCTGTAGTAAAACTCAGCACCGGTCAAAACACATTCAATCAACGACGCAGTAATTCTTCATTTACCAGAAAGATGTATAATATAAACAGATCAAATTGATGGTGACGCTAACTGCGATGGTAGGAGGAGGAAATGTCAGGCTTACCGAATTGGAAGTTGGTGTAGTTTGGACAGACGTGGTAACAGGCGCTGAGTAAACCTTCCATCATTAGAGCGGCTCCCATGGCATAGAACAGACCAAAGTGCTTTGGAATACCACATTCCTGTTGTGAGGAGAGGGAGAACACGGAGACTCCTGCTTTACAAATCTATTGTAGGTTCAGGAGTAACTGCAGGTCCAGACTGCTGACTTAACAGTGTGCCAATTGTATTTGCTATAATCTACTAAATTGTCGTAATTTAACTTCACATTAGCCTACACAGAGAGTAGTGTTGCTGCAACACCGTTTGTGTTCTCATGTCTTACCACAGCATTAAGTTCGTTGCGGACCAGAGCTCGGTTGTGGACAATGTCTCTCCTGAGGACAATGAGTAGAAATAGGAGTCCCAGCATCACGTAACCAAGATTACTGAGGATGTTGTTGAAAGCACTGTGAGGGGAAAAGGATTTATGAGTGAAGGACAATGTCATAAATTTATACTCTTATTGGACATGTGGCCCACACACAGTACCTGAGTGCTCCCAGGGGGTGGGCGCACAGGAAGTTGTAAAAGCAGATATCCTGGTTCCCTGTGACATTGACCACCTGCAGAACAGATGCACAGTTTAATCATTACCCACAGAACCAGAGGAAGGAATGTGTGTCTTTTGTAAATGTCTGATACCGTTTGATAGGTGATGACCAACTGGACCACTGGCAGTGCGTAGAACACAGCAATGGTAGCGATGTTCCTGTGAAGAGAACAGAGAATTTCAGTGGAACTCTTTACTCACACAAACACTGTGATTTTACTTTCTCCTGTTATTTGTGATGTAGCCAGAATCCTTACCAGAAGTAAATTTGATATTTCTTACTCAGGACTCTTTTGTCTTTGCGGGCAAGATCGGACACGCACAGAAATTTCTGTAATCAGAAGAAAACTTGATTGGTTTCGGACCTCTGTTTGGCTAGGGTTGATTAGAGAGTTAGAGAGGTGAGGCAGATGATCTGCTGTGGCGTGCCCTGCAGGCAACAGCCAAAAGACGATGTAGGTCTTTCCCTCACCTTGGTTCGGACTATGTTTTTGTCTGAGTCGATGTCGTCCAGCGTGTCGTAGTCGTCCTCCTCCACTGAGCTCAGAGACTCCTGCCTGCTTCGCCCCATGCTGTCCAGTGATCGTTCTGATGGAAAACCAAACAAACAAATGAGACATTCACTTTTCATGAAGGGACAATTTCAGCAACTCGGATGTATGCATGAAAGAGACGGTTGTCAATCAGGCACATATATTATAGCAGTATTATTACACCAATGTTTTTTGGAAATTTCAAATGCATTTTAATAAATTAAAAGGAAATGTTAATGATTCCTGGTAGTTGAATTTTTGCTGTTTATTCCCAACGTTTAATTATGATTGAATCTGCACTGTTTCCCTGAGTCAATGTTGAATTTTTGAAGAAAACATGATTTACACGGTGCTGATTTTCTTGTGCAAATCTCTGAAATTGATTCGGAAAAATTTATGTGGCAGTGAGTCACCAATACGGATGGCTATGTGGTGAAGGTGACTGACGATTGGTCTGCGTTTAAAGAAGTCCTGCCCTGATAAACACAGACACAGAGAGTGAGCAGCTGTCCTCGAGGCCAACTGCATGTGAGGCTGTGGAGAAATTCAGCTCTGCAGTGAATGTAAAGAACTTATGTTCTTTGTTCGTACCCAAATATCCATAGTTGTTATCGGTGGAGGTGGCGCTGTCGGTGATAGCCTCAGAGCTCAGTGTGCTGCCGTTGTCTGCTGCTCATAACAAGAGGAAAAATTAGACTTAAATTGACCAGAAAAGTCAAAATTCAAAAGAACAATGTCCAAAACTCACCAAAGGAGCCATATTCATACGGTGACACCGGAGTTTTCCCTGTAAGGACAAAGATAAAAATCACTTTAATTCTACAAAAAAACTACACACCATACTAAAAATCACTTTAATTCTACAAAAAAAACTACACAATAAAAATAAAATATTTTACCTTATTGTGTAATAAAAACTACACAATAAGGTAAAATATCACTGCAGATGAAATGTTAGTAAATGAACACAATTGTTTTCTAGCACATGCAGACATAAAATTAATGTGTGAAGTTTTTTTTTTGACAAGAAATGCCTTAAACGGCAGCAACAGAAGTGGAGCAGAGATGGAGCCATGGCTGCTCTGCTGAGCTGAGCACTAACTGCATGAGTAAAAGGTTGTAAGCAACCTGCAGTTTAAAGTCTAAAGTCAACGACTTAAGCAGGTGCAGCAGTGACAGGACAGATACACAGGGAAGCGTGGTGTCATGCTGAAGGAACACAGCAGCAGCTGCTTTTACATTTGTCTCAAATATTATCTAGTCATTAGAAAAAAAAGCAGAGAATGTTCTCTGGTGATGCTGCTGTTAGCATCGTCGCCTGTGATGTAAACACATGCTGCCTGTGTTCCTTCAGTTGCAGCTGGGAGGATGTATTGGGAGCGTTTTCATCTTCTAAACATGCATGTGAGCCTCTGTCTCTGTGACGCAGGACACACAGAAGCTTCACTATCAGAGATGCAGTGTACTGGTTAATGCTTGCAGTGCAACTAGAAACAGTTTCAGAGTGAGTAATGACGGCAGGAAGACAAAAGAGGAACTGTCTGGTTATACCATCTCCGTTCTTCCCGAGCAGAGAGGCTGAGCCACACATTAGCATGAGGGAGAAAGAAAGACAGAGAGTGTGAAAAATATATCAAGTGCACAAAAACCTGGACACACACACAGCCATACACACAGGGGTGGAAATACATGTTATGTTTAGTTAAACATTATAGGTTATGAGGTCATTTGTCTTCAGTATATATAAATAATGGTATGTTCCATTCTCCCTGTGAAGGAGTCCCTGATAGATCAGTCCATCACGGCTAGTTGCTGGGTTACCTGTCTCTGCAGGCGACATGTCAGCTGGCTTCTGGAACTCATCTCTTTTCTTTTTACTTCTGCAGAAACACAGAGAGAGAAAGAGAAGAAATTGAACCTCTACTGTCACTTCATTACCTACCATCCAAATAGTAAAAATTAATTACAAATATGACATTAATTAACTAGCTTGAAACATACTGTACAGCCTATGCGTGCATCAGAGGGTCTGACAACTATTGTCAGCAGAGGGAGCTCTAGTAGCAAATTTAGTTTAAATGCCTGCCATACAGTGCAGTGAATATCTCCAGAGTGAACAATCTGAACTGAAATGAGAAATAAGGCTCCACCTAAGTTTCACTGAACCAGCTGCGGAAGTTCCTGTAGCAAATCAGCGTTTGTGGTATTTTTACTGCTAGCTTGTGAAATATATTCATAATACCAAGCAGAAAATGACAATTGAGATTACATCAGCAACATTTTTTTCTTCCCTTTTACGTAAAGACAACTTCCATGTAGTGATTAATTTTGAATTCTTACCGCTTATTCTCCACGCAGGCCACCAGTAAAGTGATTAGGTAGAAGGAAAGGAAGATTCCAAGACAGAACAACATTCCCATCGCATACACTTGAACTGTGAAGTGCAGAGAATGACATGTCTAAATTAATCCATAAGATTATACAGGTAAATACAGGGGTTACATGTGAAGTTGTACAAATAGAAAATCATTCTTAAGCTTCGCCTGATCCCTTAACGAGTCAGGGTGGATACATACTGTATATTATATATATGCATATTATGTATATTATTATATCAGGATAAACACATTTTCACAAACATTTAATTTACTTCAAGGTAAACGTAGTGAACAGTGCACAACTGTGTATGTGTTACTCACAGCTGATGGCCGGGGAAACCACCACATCCAGGATCTTGCTGCGGTTCCCGGCATCAATCAGCTCATCGGGCTGCAGAGGGTAAAAACGGAGTGGACCGCCACATGCTTCATCCTCTGTTTTTACTACCACTACCACATAGAAACTGTTGCTAGGAAATTCTTTTCTCTGGAAAAAGAAATGAAGACACATCATGTAAGAAATTGACATGTTGACATGTGTTGACAGGATGTGTTAATGCTAGTGTAAGAATGAGTACCTGCACAGTGATGGCACCTTTTTTGGTCATAGTTTGGTACATCCCAGTAAAGGCCACATTGTTGTCAAGGTCATAGACAGGGCACTGAGAAGATGTGTTTAAGACAAAAAGTCAAGCGAAAACGAAAATCACAGTCAGCACAATGATTCCCCCAGGTGGTCAAAGAGGGTCAGTGCAGGAATTATACAATCATCTTGGGTCCACTTGAGGACAGCAGAAGTGTCCTTAAAGAAAACAAGAGGGTGGAATGAAGTACCTGGATATCCTGGATGGACATCACAGAGCAAGGGAAAGTCATGTTAGAGTTGACCTTGACTATCACAGTATCCACACCTTCTGGAAACACATACTTGAAGTACTATTTAAGGGCAGATGAAAAAGAGAAGAGAAAGGGAGAAGTGTGAGGAATTATGTGACTTTTTCCCAAACAATGTAAAACGGAAACCCACCAACTTCCTTTCTTTGCAAAAAAAAAAAAAAAATCAGTAATACCCAACCTGTCTTATGTTGCTGCCTGTTTCTAAGACATCTTGTTCCATAGTCAACACACAAATAAATGCAAACAAACAAAGTCGTTGTATATTACCTGGGGTTGGGAGGGTGATGCAGTGAAGCTGAATTTTTTGTCTGTCCTGTGATTAAAATTAACAGCAGTAGGTCATTCATTGATCATTACAAAATCTAATCTGTGGACTGTTCATGTGATTACGTCAAATATCACTTACTCAAGGGTGAAGCTTTCAACTCGGCTAACCCTAAGCTGGTAGTTTGTACCCTGACTAGACAGAGTAGATACGTCCATAAAAAAAAACTGGGTTTCCGAGAGCGCCCGAGTCGGTGGCTGACACAGTGTTCGGCCCACATGAGTGTAAGGGTACTTCCTCTGGTACCTGATGGTAAAAAAGATGGTGAGAGAGAAAGAGAGGGATGAGAAAAAAAAACCATATAAAACATTTAAAGAGGGAGTATCAAAAAGAGATTATAGGCTAAGACATTTTGATATTTCTCAGGGAGAAACAACAGTTCCAAAATTTTCCACAAACAATACTAATGAACAACACAAAATGTAAACTACTACTTGACATCTTAGAATAAGAAATGGAAGTAAGAGTCCAAAGTTCAATTTCCAGATACATGTGTGCTGTATACTGTATCATGAGGCCATTCCAATGTTACACAACTACAAGGCGTCTCTCAAGATGGCTGGAGACATAGATTGGATGACAGATCACTGATTGTCAGTTGGCTAATGACTAATAAACATCTGAACCTCTAACCTGTTATACAATCCTACCTGATTAAGGTAGGTTGTGATATGTACAGCCTCAATGCAAACCACACAAACTTCCCAGAGGTTTACAGAAATAGAATCAATCGGGACACTAAGAATGATAAGTATATTAAAACTCACTGTTTTCACTTTAGACACTGAGATGAAAGACGGCATACAAAGATAATGAAATTATCCTGCTTTCTTTGGTGATCTTTGTAGATAACCTAATACATACAGGGGTTAATCACTGCACTGTATTACTATACTTTGAGGGTTTGAGTTTATCTTCTACAATTACAGCTAACAGACATAATTAAAATTAGTAGTTCAACCACCAGGCACAGTGTTATGAATAATCGGTTTATATGAAGAATGTATGATTTAAGTTTTGAGACTCACAATCCTCTGAGGATCAGAGGGACTTGGAAAGACAGCACAGCTTGTTTCTGTCGTATCACAAACAGAGTAGGACTCTCCGAACCCTGCCACAGCACATCCACGGACACGCGAACTCCATCCGTCTGAAACCAAGACATGAAAACAACGTAACAGGTTATATGAGTAAATGAGAACGGTATTCTGAACACGTTGAACTCACCATATTCCTGGAGATAGTGTGATTAAAAGCATAAATGGTCTGATTTTCACTGGTAACCGTGTCATTGTAGGTCACATCAAACTCTGCTTCTTTCTGGATCACATTTTTTGTCTCCACCACAGCCCCGCTGCTGTAGGCTAACTGGGTCACGTAAAAGCAGAGGACAGCAGCCAATCCGGGTCGGATCCAAGAACTGACAGGTCCATGTTTGTTTTTATGACGAGATTTCCAGCAGCTCCTGAAAAACATTTTGTTGTCTCGAACCGTTTTCTCGAAGTGGCACACGATATACTTAGACCTAGTCCAGCATGAGTGGCAAAAACTAATAAAAACTCCACCCCGTGAGGCAACAGCAATGAAATCTTCTAAGCGTCACTTCCACTGCTGGGAAACAATAACAGCAGATGTTAGCCGACCAGCTAATGCGCCAGCAGGGTGTTTTCTGTCAAATAAAGGCTTGTCTCTCTTCCTATTGACATTTGCATCAGTCAAATCAAGTGTTAAGTTTCAGGACCGTAAGATGACAGCGACACCCAGCTCCTTTACAAAACCCCAAATCCTGGTATGGACATGACTAACGATGGCAACGTTAGCATTGTTGCGATGGATGCTGGGTTAGTGCAGCTCCCCGTCCTCAGACCCGGGTTTAGTTCCAGTTTCCCGGATTATGCGATCAAAACGGATCCAAGTTTTATTTTAACTCAGTCCACCTAGCGAGCGACTGTTAAAACATTGTACAGGAAGGTTTTCTCCCGCAGTGTTTACAATGTAAGTAAAGCTATGCCGACGTCGCCCCCCAGCGACAAACACAGCAACTACGTCCAGACTGTAAACAAAATAAAAGTGACGTTGTGGCATCACGTGGCTGTCCTCTAGCAGGCCAACAAAATATCAGTGATCAGTGATTTCAGTACTAAATGGTACCAAATTAAACTGAGTAAATTAATTAGTTGATTAAACGCACTTCAATGTGTTTGTGAAACCAAGTACCTTCAGACCTGAGGATTATGCTGATGAAGATTATGTCAGTCATATTATATTTAAAATAAACCATACTTACTCACATAAACAAAACACTTTTAGTTGATTGTTTGTTTGTTTTTTTTACCCAGGACAAGTGAGCAAGTGAGATCTTTAGCAGATTTTAAATCTGGCATGTTAGCAGATTACAGTGCTCAGTAAATAATCAATCCCGGTTTAGACGTACAGGGTGCAGGAACACTTTTTTAACATGGAGTGGTGCTGTCTACATACTCGTAATGGATGAAGCGCCACACCAAACAGAATGAAATAGAATTTTATAGAAAGGAAGTTAATGTTAATGAAGTTAATGAAGCTCTCTCTCTCTCTCTCATTTTATATATGTCTGTGTGTATATATATTTATATATTTTTTTTCTTATTTTCTACACACACACATACTCACGCCTATGGTATACAAACAAGTAAAAGCAGTAGGTATACTGCAGCAGAGGGGTTATGAACTATTTAACATGAGGTACCGTTTCTCTTTAAGGCCTCATC